CTTTGAGGGTCTGGTAGAATTCATCTGTGAATCCTGTGAATCCATCTGGTCCTGGGCTTTTCTTTCTTTGTAGGTTTTTGATGGCATTTTCAATTTCACTGGTTGAAATTTATCTGCTTATATTTTTATGTCCTCCTTATTCAATTTGGGTAGGTCATATGTCTCTAGAAGTTTGTTGATGTCATCAAGATTTTCTACTTTAATAAAAGTATAACTTTTCAAAATAGGTTCTGATTACCATCTGTATTTCACTATTGTCCCTTGTGATATTTCCTTTTTCATCATGAATTTTAGTAATTGGATTCCTCTCTCTCTTTAGTTTTTAGCTTCAATAAGTGTTTATCAATTTTATTTATTTTATCAAAGAACCAATTTTTTGTTTTGTCAAATTTTTGAATTGTTTCTTTTGTTTCAATTTTATTGATTTCAGTTCTGTTTTTAATTATTATCTGTCTTCTACTGTTTTTGGTCTTGATCTGTTGTTCTTTTTCTTGAGCTTTCAGATGTAATGTTAGGTTGTGTATTTCTTGACTTTTAATGAATAAGCTCAATGAACTGCTTTCATAGTGTCACAGAGATTTTGATATGTCATACCACTATTCTCAATTGCCTCTAAGTATTTTTTTTATTCCATACTTGATCTATTTTGCTATCTATTGGACATTCAAAAGAATATTTTTTAGTCTCCAAGTATTAGAGTAAGTTATATTTTTTATTTTATCATTGATTACTAATTTTATTCCATTTTGATCTGCTACAATGCAAGTTATTATCATCATTATTTACATTTTCTAAGAGTTTCTTTGTGGCCTAAAATATGCTCTATTTTAGAGAAGGATCCATATGCTGCTGAGAAGAGATATATTCAGTCATTTATGGAGAACTATTATAAATTTGTATGTCTAAATTATTAGTTGTATTTGTAGTTCTATAGCTTCTTTATATAGTTTTATTTTAGAGGAATTATCCAGTGGTGAGAGAGGTGTGTTAAAGTCACCCAGCATTATTGTGGTGTTCTCTATTTGCTTCTTGAAATTTAGAAAGGTTTGGTTGATGTACATAGATGCTTCTATCTCCCTGTTGAGGTGATCTTTTGCTTCCTATATTTGTTTATGTGGCTCCTTGTCAAAGTGATCTTTCACTGTCCATATTTGCTCTCTCATATCTTCCTTGAGTTAACAGAGCATTTTAACCATGTACATCCTGAACACCTTCTCTGTCTTTCTTCTGTTGTGGTTTCAAATGATGTGGTGTCTTGATTTGTCTGGGGCACTTTCTTCCCTTAACTTTTCATGTTGCTCGTATGTCTTCCTTTCCAGCTCTGTGGGTGTGGGGTGTTATTGGTTTTACCCTATAGGTTTGTAGTGTTCTTGCAGGGTTCCAAGACCTCTCATTTGTGGGGAAGGACAATGTTAACAGATCCCATTATTGACAATATACCACATAAAACAATTTGTAGTTATTAAGACATTTACAGTTTAGTCTCAATGTACAGAAATGTTGGATTCAATTATTATCTAAAATATAATCAGTACTTTTGTAAAACAATTTTACAGTTTCTGATGGTGGACAATGAACTGGGGGTGGGATGTAAGACGAAATGCTGAGGAGGTAGGTTGTGAGGATACAGAGATATATCTTAGGAAGTGTGAAAGAGAAATCTAAGGAAGAGGGTTAGTAGCAAGAGAATAGATGGGAAGTAATTTAGGGCAGGCAAGTTTGTGGGAAGATAGTAGAGTACATAAAACAAACACCCATGTGTATTTCGAAAAATACAGAATGTTGAAATAGTAAAATTTAGAGGGGAAAACAAAAATGAAAGAAGGAAAAGGAAAAGAAAAGAGGGGGAAAGGGCATATACAACACCTCTATGTTATAGTACATTATTCAGATGACTCAGTCCTCAAAATCCTCCTTCATGAAAATTTCTTGGTTTCACATATGTTGGGGATGTGAGGGCCGGAGGATAGAGGGGTAGAAGAGAAAGGTAGAAAAAAAAATCTCAAAGGAAGAAAACCAGGATTGTTGCTAGTTTTAGAGATCCATATCATTCCTGCTTCTCTTCTCATCCAATAGGTGGGGTTGTCTATTGTAAGCTGGTGTCTCTGCCATCAAGATGGTGGAGGTAACCAGGGTGGGAAGAGTGGTCCTGGTGCAGGACTCCTGGAAGTGGGGAGTGGCACCTGCCAGTCCCTGCAGGGAGACTGGACCTCACTAGTCTCTTTTTGGGACCGCTCATATGAGTTGAGCGCCCAGTACTATCTCCCTATCTTGCCTGGAGATTTCCCAGTTCCTGGTCTCTCTGTTAGGCTTCAAACTTTAGCCCCGTGTCCCTCTCCCTTAGCAATTCTCAACTGAGGAAACTCTCACACTGGACCCCCCCATGGGCGGTGCTCTGGTTGCACTGCACATCTGTGTTGGACAGCTACTGTGTTGGGTTACTGTGGCTGGGAGAGAGATAGGTACCTGGCTGCTGGAGATCTGATCTGGGAGCTGCCCCCACCTAATATGGCAAGAACATTGAGCCAAGATGAAGGCAGTCTGCTTTTAGTGCCAGGGTATCTGGTGTGTGTGTGTTGAGGGGAGCCAGATGATGGTGTTGTGCTGTGGGTAAGTAGCAGCTGAGTGACCTGTGTGGGAGTGGAGCAAAGTCTTGGAGATCTGCAGATGTGTTGATAGGTGATTCTGCTAAGGCACTCGCAAGCCTTGTGTGGCTTTGGGTGCTGGGAGCCTGGAGTCCTCCTCAAATGCTCAGCATCCTGCTTGAATGCTATGGCCCAGTGCCCTGCATGGGTTCACAGCTCTGATGATATCTGTGGAGAGCAGCTGTATAGGGGTCTTCCAACACACTCAGAGATGCAGTGTTTCGACTAGGTGAGATCTGAATCATGGAGTGACACAGAATGCTGCCTCCCTCTAGCCCACCATTTTAACCTCCCCTTCTTTATTTATGAAGGCTAGCTTTGCTTGGTATATTCTGGGCTGACTTTAGTTTTTTTTTTTTTTTTTCTATCCCTTTGAATATAATATTCCATTCTCTTCAGGCCTGCAAAATTTTTGGTGAGCAATCTGCTTTTATTTGGCTTGATATATTTTTCTCTTGATGTTTTAAAATTTTACTCTATTTTTTCTTTTCTTTCTTTCTTTTTTTTTTTTTTTACATTTGACAGTTTGATTATAATGTGTCTCAGAGAGAACTTCTTTGTTCTGAATATTTTTAAGGACCATTGAGTTTACTTGATGTTGATTTTCATATTTCTCCAGAGTTAGGGATTTTCTGGATATTATTTTGTTAAATGTGCTTTTCTCTCTTCTTCTTCTGGGATTACCATGAAGCAATTATTTGTCTGCCTAATGATGTCCCATGAGTCCTGCAGGTTGTCTTAATTTTTAAATTCTTTTTTTTTTCTCCACTCCTCTGCCACTGGATTTTTACAAAAGACTTATCTTTACTTTAAGAAATTCTGTTTTCTGCTTGATCACTCTGCTGGTGAAGCTGTCAATTGTATTTTTTATTTCATTCATTTAATTCTTCAATTCCAATAATTTGATTAGTACTTATTATATATCTATTTCTTTTTTGAATTTCTCATTCCAGTCATGAGTTTTTTCCTAACATCATTGGATTTTCTCTGCATATTCACTGTACCTTACTTTGTATCTTAAAGATAATATTTTTTGGAATTATTGGAATTTATATTTGTCTTTCTTTGGGGTCAATTATTAGACTCCAAGAAACTATTATTTTTAATTATTATTGTGTAACACAACATAAAACAGTTCTTGGGTTCCTTTGGTGCAGTCTTGTTTTCCATCCTTCTTGTGTCCTTATATTGATATCTGTGTCTATATTGAAACATTTGACTCTCCCAACTTTGCACTCTTTCACAGGATTTTAAAAGATTTTTTCTTATAGATGAGTGTTGATTTGGTACAGTGCCTTTGCTTTTGTTCTGCATGAATTAAGTACTATAGTGCTAGTGCTGTTTCTTCAGAAATAGTCCATGTCAGCAATACCTGAGAGTACCTCTGTGGCAAAAGTTGCAGCAGTTTTTTGAGTCTTCCCTGAGGAAGGATGATTCTTAAGCTCAGTGTATGCTTGGTATTGTAGGTATGCTAGCTTGGGGGTTGGTCTCATTGGGATGGGGTTCCAGAATTGTTCTCACATTAAGTTAGCCTGGCTGGGTATGAGGTGCTAGGCTGATTCTTAAGCCTACACCATGTGTAGTGGGATTACTGACTTGAACTCAGCTTCACCATTGTGTAGGATTGTTTCTTTTCTGGCGGGTCAGATGCTATCCACATAGAATAGCATTATGCCATTGTTCTAAGTCTGAGTTCTAATATCTGGAGTTGTAGCCTGACAGTCACCTGAGTGTGACAGAATGATGTCAGAACCCCTGGTATGTATAGTACAGCTCAATAACAAATTTGTAGAACATTTTTTCTTTGACTGTTTTTTATAATAGTACTTTTAGAGTTGTATTCATTGTTTCAGTTGAAAAAGTCAAATTTTGCTGATTTTATTTTTTATAATGGATTCAAACGATTTTCTTATTGGTAAATGAATAATTCAATTGAATATTACTATTGCTAAAAGAAGACCTTTAGTTTTCAACCCTGGCTGCTTGTAAAAAAATGTCTGAACCTGTTCCCAGAACTTTTGATATAATGGTCTCAGGTGGAGACCAAGCATGGGTATTGTTAAATGCTTCTGAGATAATTATGATTTTCTCATCATTTATCTTTAGAAGAGTACTTCTAGTGTTAGATGGTGAGACAAAAACTTCAACTTCTTGCATATGATTTTTATCTTTATAATTCACAGGTACATAACTATTTCAGTGATGTCACAATTACCTTTTACTTTATGGAGTACAGGGATTTTTATGCCAATTCTGGGTAATATGAACTCTGGGATTTTCTTGAAATTTTCTTATGTGTTATTATGCTCAAAATCTGATTGCTTATATTTTTTACTTTATTTTGCTTTGCCTTAGTATTGTGAAAGAATGCAGTGTAAAGAAGTTCGGTTCATTATAGATGACAGTATTTGCAATGCTACTAGAAATTGTGATAACCATGGGGTAAGTAACTTTAGTGTTCATTTTAAGCAGCATGCTATTAACAATTCAATAAACAATTGGGATTTAAAAAAATGATTTGATTTTTTTGGGTAATTTTGTGCTACAAGGTGTTCTTTAATAGTCTATAATTTATAGCTTAAAACTTGTAGTGTTAAGAAACTTGCAAAACCATTATGGAAGTAAAAGATGATTCTGGATGTATAAGATGTTTACTAAGTGTTTGTAGTGGATGTGTTTGTGACATTTTGTAAAAAAAAAAAAGATCTTATTTTTTATAAAAAGAAGGCAGAAAGTGTTTAAAAATGTCATTAGAATCTTATTGCTAGGCTAGCTAGTTTAATTTAGTATGGGCTGTCCTGTAAAACTAGCAAGTAAATTATAATTAGTGGTATATTTTTAGTAATTACAAGGTATTTGTGTCTGGCTGTGAATAAAGTTAAAAGAATTTTAAAAATTGATTTGGCAACCAAAGTTATATGTTATATGGCATGCATCAGGGAAAATTTAATGAATTTGTTTATTTAAGATAAATTCTTTGTAATGAGATGCTCTGTGGATTAAGCATAGGCTATCTGTTTTTATAGAAAGCTATCTTTATTATTCCAGGTTTGCAACAATTTTAACCATTGCCATTGTGAGGAAGGATACACCCCTCCTGACTGTGCAAAGAAGGCTGGGGGATTTGGAAGTGTTGATGATGGACATGAAATTAAAATGGGTTGGTGTCCTTAATACTTTGTTTGAAGTTAGATTACACAGATAACCTTATGTCAACAGATATGGCTTTATTTTATTTGTTAGACTTTTTAAAATCTGAAATTGTAGGTTTGTAATGTTCTTTCTGTCTTAGCACTGACTTTGTTTATGAATAAAAAAGTGTACCTAATATTAGGCAATTTTAAAAGTAGAAATTCCATTGCATATACTTTGACCAGTTAATTCAAATTTTTCACTTTTAATTGTCTCAGATATTCCTAGTTTCAAATGTTTCACTAGTCATGGTTATAATAATATTCCTGGGATTCAGGCTGTCTTTTTTTTCCTATTGACTTGATACTTGGTTGTCTTTCTCCTGCCATGTGACTCCAAAGTAGTCTTATGAAATTTCTTCTTTTGCATTTCACCCTTGCTGTACCTGAGTAGTATTTTGAGATAAAAAAAAAAGATGAGACTGCAAAAAACTAGGGGACATCCCCTGGTTCTACAAGGTATGTCAAACTCATTCAAATTAACTGGGAACATTGGTGAGCTGTCCATCCTATCCCCCTTCCTTTTGGGACTTTATAAGAAAATCATGCAAGTCCTAGTCAGACTTCTCTGTAGTTGGTTGTTATAAGGTGATTAACTTTTTAGAGAGATGATATATAGCCATATCCAACTATGTATCAGGCTAAAAGAAAAGCTAAGATGTTACGTATGACTGTGTGTGTGTGTGTGTGTGTGTGTGTGTGTGTGTGTGTGTGTGTGTATCTGTGTGTATATATATATATTATTTTCACAAAAAAGTAAAAAGTAGATATATAAATGATTATATATTATTCTATATTGCTTACATTTGTTGTTTAAAGCATAATAGGACTAGCGAACAGTATTAGTGATAATTGTTTATGACATAAACAAATCTTATTGTTGAGAAAGATATAGTAGCATTTTATAATGAGAAAAAGAAAGTCCTCCAATGTTGCAATTTAACTTTAATAAACTCTTCACTGGGTCCATTATGCTGGCTATGTTCTTGAGGCACACAAATATCAGACTTTAAAAACATAAATAAATAGGAATAATTAGACATTCCTTATATTAAATAAAAATAACTTTTTGTTCCATGATGTAGTCATATATTTTTATCCTTTCTGTTTTATTTTCCAATATACTTCTGTGAATTGCTTTTAGCTTTTAAGACACCCTCATTTTTATGTATTAGCAAAACTGAATAAACTTAACAGTAAAATTTATTTTGACTTGCAACTCTACTCCATATCAAGCCATTATTATTTTGATTGCTGGTGTCAGCACAGCAAAGTGCTTTCAAAGCAAGTTAGATCATCAAGTAAAATATCTTTGTAATGAAAGTATTGTAGCTTGGATTTCTTGGGATTTTATTTGACAGAAGCAGCAAGGTCAAGATTTATTTTTCAGTTCTACAAAACATGTCCACTTACTTTGTATCTACAGGCTTGTACTGGAAGAAGGGCTATTTGTCAGTCAGGTCTTTTGCATACTTCATTTTCTAGGTTATCCATGTCTAAAATGCTTGTCACTTTTAAACACTCCCAAAGTGCCTTAGTGTTATAGAGCCACATGAGCATACAGTAAGCACTGATAAAATTCAACCTCCCTTTGTCCAGCCTCCTCACCCTACCACATTCTTACCAACCTCTACTATTCATTATTCTATATTAAGTTTGACTTTTTTTTTAAGCTTCCACATATGAGGGAGAACATGTCATATTTGCCTTTCCACATCTGGCTTATTTCACTTAGCATAATCTTTTTGAAGAAAGAGTGGATAAATTTCTGTTTTATTGTATCTTCCCCTTTTCTGTTTTCATCCTCCATGTTATTAAAAATTAGAGAAGAATAACATTATATTTCCACATTTTAAAATTAAGGATTTATGGGAGGCTCATATGTTAACATATGTTCTAAGTCTGGCAGCAATACTAGTTATCTTGTGTGTGTGTGTGTGTGTGTGTGTGTGTGTGTGTGTGTGTATATATATATATATATATATATATATATATATATATATATATATACAGAAGTTATCTTCTCTCATTTTATAAATAAAAAGAATCATTAGGGGCTGGGTTGTGGCTCAGAGGTAATATGCTCATCTACCATGCATGAGACACTGGGTTAAATCCTCAGCACCACATAAAAATAAAATAAAGATATCATGTTCATCTGTGTGTGGGCTCTCTCTCATATAGCGAGGAGGTCCACGGAACAGGGTAGAGGGGAGTGTGGCTGTAGAAATTTCTGCTACCTTGAGCAAATACAAAGTACACTTTGCTCTTCTACATGCATACTTAGCTGACAGTAGAAAATCAAATTATTATAACTTCCATTTAGTCTATAAACATCTTATGGGAAAAGATCTCATCTGTTCAATATATTGCACACTCATACACTTCACTAAAGGGAGTATGATTTACTTACCTGTGATATAGAAGATTTCATAATAAAAGTTTTTGGTCACTTCTATTGCAAAAGCATTTAATAGTCTTTAAAAATATTTTTTAGTTATAGGTATGTGGGGACAAGTGCATGGATTACTACATACATGGAATACGTTAAGGGCCTCTGAATGGCAAACCACTCCTTCTTGTTAGGCATGTGAGCAGAAAATGCCTTACCCTGTAGACACAGCCCTGGGAGTGAGGCTTCATGTTGCACTCCCTGTGCTTGTTTCACAGCCCACTTTTCAATTGGTTGTGGCAAGGACAGTTGGCAGAAATTGCATTGGTGGTTGCCTGTAATCTGCTTAGCTACTGCCTGAGTATATATACGTGGTAACTGTGCAATAAAATTAGACCTGCTTCCTGCTTGGTCTCTGGAGGTCTTGCTTTGTGACTCTGCAGCCACACTCTCCTCTACCCTGTCCTGTGAACCTCCTCGCTAGATGAGAGAGAGCCCACGCAGGTCTCTAAATAAAATACAAAATTATTTCATTGAACAGATTGCTCATTCTTTTGGTTTGGACCTCTATACCTTCCTCTATCCCAATAACTCTTAAATTTGGTCTTTTTATGGTATCCCAAATTTCTTGGATGTTCTGCTCATGGTTTCTTATAAGCCTTTCTGAGTTGTCTAGGCTCTTTTCAAGATGATATATTTTGTCTTCGTGGTCTGATGTTCTGATTTCTAATTGTTCTACTCTACTGGTGATACTCTAATTTGAGTTTTTAATTTGGTTTATAATTTCCTTCATTCCAGGATTTCTTTTCTTTCTTTCTTTCTTTTTTTTTTGTTGTTGTTTTTGTATAACCTCTATCTCCCTGTAGAGTTGCTCTTTTGCTTCTTGGATTTGTTGATGTAATTCATTCTCGAAGTGATCTTTCATTATCTGCATTTGCTGTCTAAGGTCTTCTTTAAGACTCCATAACATCTGAAGCATGCATATCTTGAAGTCTTTTTCTGACAATCTCTCTGCTGTGGCTAGCAACTCCTGTAATGTTGAGTTGTCCTGCATTTTTTGTGTTCCTTTTTTCCTTGTTTTTTCATGATGCTCATGTTTCTTTCCAGCTCTGAATGCTGTGTTATTATTTTCTCCTGTAAATTTGTTTTGCTTTTGTATAACTCCGAGATCTCTCCTTTGTGATGGGAGACAATGTCTAGAGATGTTGGGTTCAATTATAATTTAAAGGAAATTCATTAATTTCATAAAAGACATACAGATTCTGATGGTGTATAGAGAACTGAGGTTTGGTCTTAGGACTTTATGTTTAGGTGGAAAGATGAGAGGATATGGGGGTTAGTATATCTTAGCTACTTTGGAGAAGAGTTCTACTGAAGAGGGACATTAACAGGAGAATAGATAGGAGTATTTGGGGGTAGCTAAGTACTTAGGAGGACTATAGGAAGCCTAGAAACATTCACCTATTTGCATTTAGTAAATTACACGTAGTAGAAGAATGCTTGGGAGGCTGGGAGGAGAAGAGAGGGAGAAAGAAGAGTATAAGTAAATGAAGAAGAAAGAGAGAAAAGAAAAGGAAAAAAGAAAGAAAAAAAAGAAGAAAGAAGAAAAAATATATATATATATATATAAAAAGGGCGGGGGAGAATGCATTCTTAGAGTTCTATTTTCTTCTCTTCCAGTAGGTGGTGTCGTGCTTTCCAGGCTAAGTCTCTTCCCTCAGGATGTAGAAAGTAATCCATGTGGGGTGGCTCTTTCTCCCCTGCTAGGTCTCCCCAATCCTGGTCTCTTTGGGTTGCTCCTGGTTTCTATCCCCCTCACTTCTCCTACCCGCCAGGCCCCAGTTACCGGTAGTCCTCTCCACATCTCACACCCTGGGGGCATGGCGGCGCAGGTCTCGAGGCTGCTCACTCCCTTCCCGATGCCATGTCTAGGATATTTGACCTTTTATAACACATGCACACACATTTAATTGTGGCAGACCATACATAACAAATTTTATGATCTAAATGCGTTTCAGTGTGTAAACTTCATTGTACATTCTTGTTGTACATCATCATGCAACCATCATCTCTCTTTAGAGCTTTTGTCAAAATCTTGTAAAGATGATACATTATGTCAATTATGTATTATTCCCCAGACCCTGGAAATGGGCATTCTACTTTCTCTATGAATTTGGCTACTCACATAATTGGAAATATACAGCATTTGTGTTTTAGTGATTGATTTATTTCACTTAGCATAATGTCCTCAAGGTAGCTTATGTCAGAACTTCATTCCTTTTGAAGGCTGAATAACTTTCTATTGTGAATATATACCGTATTTTATTTATTTATCATATATTGATGGGTTGCTTTCATCTTTTGCCTATTCATCCATAATATTATATTCAATGCTCTTCAAATTTATAAGGATACATTCTTCTTACATGAAAATTATAGTCAGTCTATCCCAGAAGACTCCCAAATCTTAACCTATTCCAGCATTAATTGCAAGTCCAAAATCTCATCTGAATGTAGTTTACGTCAGGTATGAGTGAGAGTTATGATTCATCCTGAGTCGAAATTCCTCTAGAGTTATGAATTTGTGAAGTCAAACAAGTTAAATGCTTCCAAAGTACAAGGGTGAGATAGGAACAGGAGATGCATTCCAAAGGGGAGAAATTGGAAAGAAGGAAGTGGTACTAGGTCACAAGAAAGTCCAAAATCTAGCAAGGCAAGTTGCGTTGGATCTTATGGCTTCTCAAATAATTCCATTTTGGTTGCTATTCTTCTCTCCAGGTTCACTAGCATGGCAATGTCACCTTCACCATCCAAGGTGGTAGCCCTAACCCCTTCTTTTGCTGCTTATTAAACTACTTCATCCTTTACCCATTTCCAGTTCCAAAGTCATTTCCACATTTTTAGGCATTTGTTAGAATAGCAGCCTACTTCCCAGTACCAAAATCTGTACTACTATCAAGGTTTCTTCAGAGAAACAGAACAAATATGAAAATGGCTCAACACCATTATGGAAGCTGACAAATGGCAAGACTTTCAAGGTGAATTGACAAACTGGAAAATAATTTAGTAAATGTTTGCAAATATTATATAATCTAAGAAAACATTACGTAGTGTAAAAATTGAGCAATCAAAAACATCAGTAAAATATTCCCAACAGCACATTTATATACTTAGTTCATTTCTTGTTTTTTATTTTATTCACAGTCAATATGAATAAGGTGTTTGAGGTTTGGGAATAATGTTGATAATAATGCCTTCTCCATTGTCTCATTTGGTTATTATTGAAATCTCTGACCTAATTTCAAATTGATATTTTCTGTTCTAGCTGGAAAATCTGCAGATAGAGGTCCTGGTAGTTCACAAAAACAATACTTTCAAGTCAGTTTGTACGTTTCCGTACCTCTGCTTATCATTACTATTGCCCTTTTAATTAATCAGGATAAAATAAGAAAGCAATGCTTCAGAGAGGAAAGTGAAGCTGACAGGTATGTACTTGTTGTATATATTTACTCTTATAACAGTAAACAAATTGAGAAAATAGTATTTGTGTTTTATCAGAAATGACTATGACTATAGGTAAGGCAACATAAGGAGAGACCTGGAGACACATTCAAATTGGTTTGATGTCCATTGTGTGTTTTCCAGTATTGTTCAACCCCTAGAATCATTTAGTTTACTACCAGTATCCCTGTAGGAGGAAACATGGCTGCCGAGAATATCTTAGAAGGTACATGTAGACTTTTGATCCTGTTAAAACAGCCATATTGCCCATAGGCTTTAAAGAACAGGTGACACTGCATTTCAAGGGAACTTGCTAACAATAGTTTTATTAAGCATGGCTTCTCAGGTCAGTCATCAACACGATATCTGTATTACAACACAATCTCTTTTTGAATTAGAGATAAGATCTTTGAACCTGCTTCCATGATATTTATTACAGTGTCAATTCTTAACTAGAAATCACATGTATGGCTGTTAATATTAGATTCAGAGTCAGAAAGCAGTATTGTATGTCATCTGAAATATAACTCTTAGCTTTGGAAAACTTGTTCACAAATTCTAAATCTTGAATGTAAAACTGATATCTTGAGCAAGTGATTTAATTTTTATGTACTTCAAACTATTCTGTATAACTAACTCCCTAGAGTATAAGATGATAATGGATTTCTAATGTATCAAACTTTTGGATTCATCAACTGAGTAAGTGAAATCACCATATTAACTATAAAGAATCACACACATTTTAGTATGTGTATTGAGTTTCCTTACATAATTTTAGTATTGAGTTTCCTTACATAATTTGCAGGATTTTGCCATATGGAGTACCATATAATGTTTTGATTAATTGATTTTTTTTAGTGCTACTTAACAGTTTTGGCTTAATTTGATCTGAAGAATTAGAAATACCATAGAGTACAGGGGCCTTCCTCTACAGATGGGCTTATGGCATAAATGCTTGAATAAGTTCACATTGAGGTGAAAAGAGCCAATCAGCAAAGCAAGGTGCCTGATAGCATTCATTCAACAATGAGATTGTGCCTGTTGTTTTATGTTGGAAAAAGACATGTTACATATTTGATATTGTTTGCTTGAAGAACAGTCTTTAAAAGAACTTAAAATTTTCTCCACTTTTAAATAAATTTATTGATTTCATAGATCTATGGAAGAAGAAAACACTACCACTAGCAGCATCAAGTCATCCCCCACTGAAAAGTGAGTATGGAACAATGTAATAAATCACCTTGCAACCTATGTTTTGATCATTGTCTAGGACCACTTAAAATGGTTCCTTTAAAAACAATTATATTTATTCATAATATTCTTTGTTATTCTCACTAGAGTTTATTTTATAATTATAAGCAATGAAACTTGGTTTCTTAATTTCTCAATCTCCCCTCCCTGTCCTATCCTGAAGGAAGGGTGTTTTGCACTCACCCTAACATTTATGGGAATATATATTAATTCAATGATATCATTAAAGATCTGGATGCTATAATTTTAAATTTTCTTACAAAGTTGATATTTGGGCATGCATCAGGACACAAAAGCCAAGTCAAATTAAGCCAACCCTTGCATAATCATTTTAACTTATATTTTGATTAATTAAATAAATCACAACAGCAAACTCATCATTCATGGAAAAGTGTATGTAATATGCTCCACTCACTCCAATGGGATGTACTACAAAGTCACGTGGCAAATAAGACACATAAATAATGACATATTAGGATATTAGTAAAGAAATGGAAAAGTAATTTAAATGATTACATCCTCCAAATATTTAAGGAACAAACTATGTCATTCTTATACATTCTGATGTAGAGAATATGGGGGGGGGGTATTTAAAAAAGCAAACCTAATCATTTTTATAGATGAATAAGAATTATATGAAAATCCATATGTAGTAGAATGAAATTTAACCCATATCTCTTACCCTGAACAAAACTCAAAAATGGATCAAAGACCTAGGAATTAGACCAGAGATCCAAAGGAATAAAGCCAAAGGAAAAAAAGGACAAAAGAGCTGCACACAGAGAAAAACATTAACAAAAGGCACCATTATGTCCTTATGTAAAATAATTCACTTAAATGAACATAGATTAAATTACCCAATCAAAAGGAATGAATGTAACAAAAGAAAGAAAGAAAAACAAGATCCAAATAAACTCCCAAATACTCACTTTACAGTTAAAGGCTCTCGTAGACTCAAAATGAAGGGATGGACAAAACTATGTGAGTGGCACCAAAAGGAGCATAGAGACAGCAGTTTCCAGTTTCTGGGTATGCATCTGAGTAGAGCAGCACTCCATATGCTCACACTCATATTGCTGACCTACATGCTGCAGATGATAACTGTATTTGTACTCTATCCTCCTGCAATATCCCTTGATGCCCTCTACTGAGATGATGCTTAAAGAGATTCCATTAAAAATTGCAGAACACATATATAAAGGTGAATTTCAATCTGGGATGCACTAGGTAAGCTAATGGGTAAACCTATGATTCAGAAATCCCTCTGTCTTCAATAGCAATGAGTGATTTTTTAATTGAAAGTGTAATAATGCTTATTGTAGATTTATTCATAATGTGCAAAAGTTTTCAACAGAAGAATGAATATATAAATCCTGCCACATTTATCTAATGGAATACTGTACTGTAAGTAAAACATACAAACATTATTTAGGTATAGGAACCAAGATAAATTTCAATGACATAGTATGGAAAGAAGCCAGAATCAAGAAGGGATTATTCATGTTATATAAAAAATGATTCAAGACAAAACTAATCTCTAGATAGAATAAGGGGCACTTTTAGGTATAAATGGTACCTAATGGTATAGTGAAGTATATTTCTGAACTACTGATAACAAATTATATTTAATCCAACTTGTGGTTTCATTTATGTATACAACTGTGAAATTGAACTGAACATTTAGGATTTTGTATACTTTAGTAGTTGCAAGTATTTCATTTTGAATAATATAAGTTATACCAAATACCTGGAAACATCAAATATCTAGAAATCTATGGAGGTATGTTCAGCACATATGCACATTGAAAGACATGCAATGTGAAGTAGCATTAAAGAAAAATAATTAGTGGAATATGCTATTTTTATAAATTGAAAGACTAACATTTTAAGCTTAATTAATTATGACAAAAGAGAGATTTCAGTTTGAAAAGTATGATTTTAGTATGTGGTTGGTTGAAAAATTTCATTGAAAAAAATTCTTGACTACTATCTGAAAATCTTTACACACACACACACACACACAAACACACAATGCAACACAACTTGAAATATGTGCCCCCCCAAAACATTATAATTTTATTTTAGATATAAATGTGAAAAATAAAATAAGAAAATATCTAAAATAAAAATTTGGAAATATCAAATATCATTTTTACCTTTAGTAAGACACAAACAATATTAACCATAAAGAAAACCCATGGATTTGTTGAAATTAGGAGTTTCTAGTCATTAAAACATATTGCTATGAAAGTGAAAACGTTATCCACAGGATTGGAAGACATACTTGTATTCAACAAATGTATATTTGTTCACATTCTGTATAAATGGTATGCAAAAAAGAACTCCTACAAAAGAATGGGTAAAAGAAAGGTATACTGATTTTAAAAATATAGGTAAAATACTTCAATATGTACTACAAAAGAGACAGAATTTGATTGAGCAATGCACATACTAAAATGTTCTGAACCTCAATATTCAGGTGGAAGACACAAATTAAAAATACAATATGTTACTACCATGATATCTAATATTATAAAAATTATCTAATATTTTAACAAAAACCATATGAGTATAAGAACTGAAAATTTTATATACCCTTGAAGAGAGCATAAATGTGCAAAAGCAATTTGTGAAAGTTTCAGAACTGTTTACAGTTCAGCCAATGCATAATCCACCAGATCCCATTAATTAGTGTGTACCATTAATGTGTGTGTGTATGTATGTATGTATGTATATGTATGTATGTGTGTGTGTATATATATATATTCACACTGAGGGAGAGTATTCATAGCAGAACTAATTGTGAAACCAAACTACTAGAAACAATCCATCTTTAAGTTTTTACTCTATTCTTTCCCCAAATCAATAATGTTCATATGGTGAAATATTTAATGTAAACCCAAATGTTTTTTTTTTTTTTTTTTTTTTTGAGACATAGACAAGAAGAATTGGGAAAAGATTCTGAAATTCATGTGCAAGAAGAATGTATGGTAGCCAGGCAAATACCTTCTTATTTTCAAAAAGTATTTTTTTATTTGAATGTACTATGGAATACATACTAAAATATCTAAGAAACCTTGAGAGATGTGAGAATTAAAGTTAAATTCTCATAATCATATTACCCAAAGAGGATGTATGATAACAACTTATATGTGCATCTTCTTAAATGTTTTTCTAAGTAAAATATTAGAAGACCTTACATATACTTTTGTTCAAGAATATTATGGACAACTTTCTTTTTCTTAAAACATGGATCTCTATCACCACTTTGTAACATAAAAATAATTTATTTTAAAAGTCTACTGTTATGAATATTTAGGCTATTAGCAGTTTTTAGTTATTACAAACATCCATAAAAATACCTTTGCATGGATGTAAACATCTTGGAACAACTGTCCAGTTAGGTCCTGGAATAAATTCTCAGAAAAGAGATTGATCAAAGAATGTTTACTTTACCAGCTAATTTGTGTCAAGTTATAACTTTCCTGAGTTGTTAGTTTTTAGTCAACTTGACATGTGAGTGGTAGATTTCCTGAGCCTTAGCATATCTTAAAATTTACTTTCTTTTACTATTCTATAGAATTTTATTTGTAATTTTCCACTGTGATATTAAGGAATGAGGTATAAAAAGTATGGAAATAGAAGTAGGAACCATATAATATGATCATATAGAATTAAAGAGCTTTGAAGACTACATTTAACATGAGGGATGCTTCACATATTTTAACATTCTCCAATTTCCATTGATTTTTATGCTATTTAAATTAAGATTTTAGGTCTAGGTTACTGTTAAGAAACCCCTGCTTTTTGTATATTGTTTTGGTTTTAAAAATACTTTGTAATTTTCACCATTATACTTAAGTTTATAATTAGGGTTAATTTAAGTAATTGAATTCATGTTATGTTTAATTTGTTTCATTATTCATAATTTTAAAGGATGCTTTTAGCTTTGATGGTATTAAGAGTCTGGTCTACCCAAAGACCTCGAATTGCCTGAATCTTGTCTACCTTCACTCTCCTAACTCATTCAATAAATTGTGAGATCTAAATCGTTCTGCTTCTTATGACACTTAAACAAATTAAAAGCATTTTTTAAAAATACAGGTTTGCAAAAAAATGAATCATGGTCAATCCTGGCCCATCCAGGGATGATCATTGTTCAAAACTTTCAGTGTATGGGTATATACCCTTGTGTGTGTGTGTGTGTGTGTGTGTGTGTGTGTATGTATGCACTTATGTGCATATTGATGTTTTTATTTAATATAAAATATAATAGTTAGAATTAGCCTTCTTTTTCCTTTTAATTTTAAATTAAAATTATTTCACATATTTAGAATTGAAATTTCCATGGCCCTTCATTTATTGCCTTGAATGGGTACCAAACATGGACAAATAAACACTTAGGGTATTTTAGGAAGCAATGTGTATTATAAAACTAAGAGTATCTGGGCTGGGGTTGTAGCTCAGTGATAGAGCGCTTGCCTCACATGTGTGAGGTACTGAGTTTGATTCTCAGCACCACATAAAAATAAATAAATAAAATAAAGGTATTGTGTCCATCTACAACTAAAAATATTAGATTAAAATAAAAGAAAAACTAAAAGTATTTGTAGTTGAAGTGACAGGTAATTGTTTTTTTTTTTTTTTTCCTTTATGGGATTAGTTTTCATTTTCTTAATTATCTTGAATCACTTGTATCTTTTAAATTTTGTGTTTTGGTTTCTTCTACAGCAACAGTTCCTAACTACCTTGAATGCTAATATCTGAGAGAGAAGAAAGTACCAAATCTATCATCATAAACTGGCTTGAATCAAGAAGGAAAAAACAATCTCTCAGCTCTGTTGTCACTACTAAAGGGTTGAAACTATGAAAAAAATAAATCACCTTGCCCAAAATCTCCTGAGTTATGTACGATATTGTCTCTGTGTTTTCAGGACCAGTTTTTACTTTATCTTTCCTAACTTGCCTGCAGAAGTGGCTCTAACTCAGGTGAGAAACAGCCTAAGACTCTCTTCCTCTGATACTAACAAGACCTATCCAGCCTCACAGCCCAAGGGCAGAGTGTAGGCTCTTTTCTTCTACTTATAGGTCTGACTCTACTTTCCATAGTCTGACCACCTGACTTTCCTTCAGAGTGCCTACAAACTCTGACTTGGCATTTACTCAGACATGATCTGAATCCAATCCCTTTAAGGCTACCACTTTTCCTTGTACACCTGTTTTAGTGTGTTGAGAAATCTGTTTACCAAAAGTAGATTTACCATGAAGCTAAATAAGCAACAACTTCAGGGCCATTTACCCACATAACCCCTTTTTGGCCATGGACCTAATTTGTATTCTTATGTTCATCACATTTTTATGGTTCAGGCCATACTGAACTTGGCTCTATTTCTGCTGTGTACCAATTTCCTTGGTAGTGGTGAGCTGGAGCTAGTTCACACATGCTCACAAGAGCAAAATCATTTAAAATGTCAGAATTTATGCTCCTTAGCTGTCATACATGATTTAAATTTAAATAATAAGTTAAAAATACTTAGACTGATCATTATTGTTTTACAATTTAGTTTCATTTTTGCTCTTGAGGTTATAGTTACCATATCTTTATAGTGGAATTAGTATAAAGTGTTATACTGTGTGCCCTGCTGCCTCTCTTTTCAAGTCTTCTAAAAAGAGTGGTTTGAAATTGGCCTTCACTGAAACGGATATACCTATAAATTTGGGATCCTTTATCTTCCAGAGGGTTATATGTATAACATATATCAGCAAACCAATGCCTTTGAGGGCTTTTCGATTTCCTTTGAGTTTTCTTTTCCAATATTTTGATAGAGGTGCATTTGAGAAGATAATCGTAGCTTTAATCTATCCTCAACTCTTCCTGGAATCAGAATACCCAGTTGGTTGGTTCCCTATTAAGTTTTGACATGGTTTTTGGTGAGGCTGAAAGCCACCTCTGGAAGAGGCAAATAAGGTGTGTGTTTCAGATCTGCTGGATTCTGGAATGTGGAGGAGCAACTGAGTTGTTCTGTGTTTACACTCCCACAATTCTAAGTATCTTGCCCTTAGAGCTGTTCAAATACTGATGAGCCGGGATGTCTGAAGAAAGGAACAGGAAGTAAGGCCAAATTTCCCAGGTGCTGTGAATAACTACCAAATACTTCAGTACCTCTGGACCAACAAGGAGAGTCTGGAGTTCCATATAAAAGAGCATTTGTACTTTCACTGTCACCCACCCTAAAATGCTCAGAAGAGTTAAGAAAGATTTTCAAAGATGGAGTAGAAAACGTCTTGCGAAGAGTCACTGCGCTTTGGGATTTGAAAAGAGAGAGGAATGCTGCAGGTGTGAAGGTGCTGCCAGATCAGAATGTTTTGTTTTTCGCCTGAATTGGTTAAAGGCCAGTGAAGATGTAAACATTATGCATTTAGGAAGAATGGGGTTTAGTAATTCTGTAGTTAGCATTAAAGGTCTATCCTGTTAGGCAGATATAGTTAGGGGCATTTATTCACTTTATAGGTATAAGTTCTCAAACTCAAAATGTAAAATCATTTTCTCATTGTCCACTGAAGAGAGGGTTCAGTCTTTCTCTGAAATTACTAGAAAAATCATCACTTACGTATATGCGGTTGTGGATTACTTTCACTTCTCTCCTTTCTCTGATATTTGAGTGTTCTATTACCTAAAAGAGGAATGTCATTGAGTAAACACAGTAGTAAATATTTATTAAATGAAAGCATACTCTGTGATCACAGGTTCTATTCCAGTGTTAGTAAAGTATGACCTCACTTAGACACAGGTACTATGCATCTCAACCCATTATTTAACGAAGGTATAATAATACTACTCTCACTAAATTATGCTATCCTGTAAATCCTATACATTTCACATTTATTTTTATCACTTTAATGTTTACATAAGATATTAAATGCATATATTAAGTTTTTTTTTTTTGCTTTGATCATTCTTATTTCAGAGCTTTGGGGTTATGCATATAATGAAACTGGTCATTTGCATTTGGATTCTTCACATGTTAAAGCAATAAATGTCCTTGACATGTTTCTTTCTTGAAGTAGACATATCACTAATATTGAGAATTTTTTCCACATTGATCACAAATATTTCAATTTGTTTTATGTAGAAGTTGCATGGGAATAGACATGAAACGCTGGTAGAAGAGAGTACTTGTGAGTCCATAGGTGGTACAGAGTAAGAAGATTTAAAAAAAAACCTTTTTTTAATGTACACATGTGTTAATAATTCTGTTTGACATTCTTATGACAACTTATGTTCTAAAACTTCAGCAATATTGACAGTGTACTTAGTATTCACAAAGAATTAATTTACTTTCTATATGATTTTCTAAATGTATTTTTTAGTATGCAAGGATATTTTGTGGAGTGAACAAATTCAGTTATAACATTTTGCACCCATTCTGAAATCATGTCATAGCCTTTTAGAGAATATACATACATAAAGAATTTAGGATATACTTGAAAATGTGGCTCACATGAAGAGGAATCCTTTTTATTTGCGGTGGCATGAGGTTATATAGATCTGTAAAACCTTAAGAGGGACAGATGTAATTTTTAATAAATGGGCCCATGATGGTTGGCCCTTGAATATGACAGCACTTAGTGTGTTTCGGAGGAAGTGGAAAGGACCCTCTCATCAGGGGGTAACCTGTCAGTATGTGTTTCTTTTCCAAGTCTTTAATAGAATAGGGTTCCTGGGCTGAATTTGTGGAAAGATAGGGTTGGATTGAGGTGCTGGGACCACTTGATTTCTGAATTCCAGAGAGGTGCTGTGATGCCTAGACATTTGGTTCCTGATATTGCTAATATCAGGCTGGGGGTGAACCACATGGCCTGAAATAAGGTAGTGGCAATGAGGAGAAGGGTGTAAGTAGCACCATTCCAATTGGTGTTTCAAATGCCTTTATCAATATATAAAGGTATTTGAAATTCATACATTTAAAGTGCACATTCATACATTTAAAGTGAATGTTTTTTAGTGTATTCACATTCTTTAACACAATTAAAATTAGACAAAAATAAACATTGCTCATTAGAGCCATCAAAAAGAAACTGTTCACTAGAACACTTGGAATGGAACCACCATATGACTGAGTTATCCCACTCATTGGTTTATACCCAAAGGACTTAAAACCATCATATTGCAGTGGTGCAGCCATATCAGTGTTTATAGCAGCTCAATTCACGATAAACTATAGAACCAACCTAGTGTGCCCTTCAACAGATGCATGGATAAGAAAAATGTGATATATATATATATATATATATATATATATATATATATATATATATATATATATAATAGAATATTACTCAGCCTTAAAGAAGAATGAGATGATGGCATTTGCAGTAAATGGATGGAGATGAAAAATATCATGCTAAGCAAAATAAACCAATCCCAAAAAACCAAAGTCCAAATGTTTTCTCTGATACAATAACAGAAGTGTGGGGTGAGGATGAGGGGAGAATAAAATTATTTTGCATTAGGAAGAGGAAAGTGAAGGGAGGGGTGTGAAAATAGGGTAGGCAGGATAGTAGAATGAATTTAACATTTTTACCCTATTTGCATATATGTTACATAACCAAGTAATTCTACATCTTGTACAACCAAAAGAATGAGAAGTTATACTCCATTTATGTATAACTAATTTGAACAAATTAAAAATATAAAAAAGGATCGGTACAATATTCAGAAACTCAGTGTAATCCATATTGTTAACAGCCCAAGAAGCAACATCATAAGACCATATCAAATGACAGTGAAAGGCATTTGTAATTATCAATAGTACCATCATCTACAACACAACATTCAAAACCTAGCTATTGAGGGGAAATTTCCTCAAATGTAAGATTATTTAAAAATATTCCTACAGATAGCATAAAAATTAATGGTGATATATAGAAATATTTTCTCATAAAGCCAATTTTTTCTCATTAAAAATCACAAGGAACATATAAAATTTCATAACTAAAAATAAAATTAACTATGCTGCAGAATATAGAATTAACACACACACACACACACACACACACACACCTCAATTGTATATCTATATATTACCAATGAAGTGGAAGTCAAAACAAATAAACCAACACCATTTACAATTATTATAATGAAAATTGAACAATAAATAATGAAATAACCACACATGTGAGATATATGGTGAAAGTTCCAATAATCTTATAAAAGATATCAAAGAATTAAATAGGGACATGCCACATTCAAACAAAGGAAGATTCAATACTAAGGTGATTGGCACCAATACCATTTATATCAAAGTCACAGTAAGGTTTCTTGTAAGCTTAGGGAAATTGATTCTATGAAGTATAGAGATAGTAGAAATAGCCACAACAATGTTGAAAACAAAGAACAGAGTGAGAAGAATTGTTTTTCAAAGTGAAAATGGGGAGCTAAAAAAATCAAATGACACACAGATAAATGGAAGAGAAGAGAGAACTGAAAAGGTACACCAACAAATACATCTAATTAGTTTTTGACAGAGGTAGAAAACCAACTCAACAGATGAGGGGTCACTTTTTCAAAAGGTTTTACTAGAGTAAATGGACACAAAACAGTTTTGATTGCTCACTCTTCAAAAAATTGTAAGTCAAGATGTAGCATGTGGTTAAATGTAAACCATAAAGCTAGACCTTTTTGAAATGCCATAGCACAAAAACTGAGGGACTTTTTCATAAAAGAAAAAAGGCAATGTCTTCTAAATAAAAATTTTAAAACTCTTGGAGAAAAAAAAATAGAGACCTAGAGAAAATATAGGCAAATCACACATCCAACAAAACA